AGTCCTCGCGGCCCGGGCAGCGCGGCCCCGGCCCCCGGGCCCGCTCGCCCCCGCCGGCCGATCCACAACTTCTGCCTCCGGAGAGCGGCGGGGCCCCTCTCGCCGCCGGCCGCGCTGCCCGGACGGCCTCCCGCTCCTCAGCCGCGGAGCGCCCCGACCCGGCCCCGGCCCCGGCCCCTGCCCGCGTCCGGCGCCCGCCTTACGCTTCCTTCGTAGCGTAGCGCCCGGCCCGGGCCCCGCGGCTACGGCGCGCCCGGGGCGCACGCGGCGCTGTGAATCGCGCGTCCGGACTACGGCTCCCACAGGGCTGCGCGGCGCCGCCGGGGCGGAAGCTCGGGGCGGTGCCTGCGCGAGGCAGGCCGGGAGTTGTAGTCCTAGGGTGGCGGCCTCCTAGCCCGCAGACCGCCCGGGGCACTCCGCCTGCCCGTGCTGCTGGAGACGGCCGGGTCCCGGGCCCCGGGCCTCGGTCCCCGGGAGGCGCCGCGCTCCAGGCTTATCAGGGAGTGGGACGGCCCGAGGTGCTGGGACTACAGCTCCCAGAGGGCCCTGCGAGGGGCACGGAGGGGCGCGGCCTTCCGCCGCGGCGTCGGCGCGTCCGGGGCGTCTCAGTCCCGTGGGGCTCGGGGGTGGCCGGGCCGGGGGCGTCCGTGTCCCGCGGGGCTCTGGGCGGCCGCCCTATTGAGGACCCACGACTCCGCCCCGACCCCGCCGTGTTCGCGAGAACCGGAGACCCCTTCGCTTCTCCCAGGGCACCCCTCGCGACACCGCGTGCTGTGCTTGGTCCCGGCGGCCAAGAGCGGCAGTGGCAACGGGACCGCCCTGGCCCGAGACGCGACCTGGCCTCGTAGCGTCGCTTGGGCACAGCCTCTCTAGGCCCCTTCCTTCTCGGTCGCGGAGGGACGCCATTAAACGGCCACGCCGGCCTCAACCGGGACGCGGCCCACGGCGCCCAGCCGGGGCCTGGGGGAGGGAAGCCGGGGCGACTCCTGGGTCCTCCCAGGCCCCTTGCGCGGGCCTCATTCTCTCCCCGGAGGTCCCCTTCCCGCTGCCCTGAGGCCACTCTCCTGCCAGCAGCTGCTGGGCCGGCTCTCGGGAAAGTGCCTTGGCGTCAAGCTTATCAGGCTGCAGGGTGGGACGCGAGTGCTGAGGGCAGCCAGACTCCCGCTCTTAGGCGCAGATGAGGAGCCTGAGAAGGCAATGGCCCTGCAGGAGAGGGAGACAGGAGCAGGGCTGGTCAGCTGAGAGTCCGGAGAGACGGTTTGGTTGTGGTCCGATTCTGTGGCGAGATTTACAAGTGGGAGGTTGGGTGACGATTGCTCCGGGGCCAGAAACTCTTAAGCCAGTCTCAGCAAGACCTACAAGGCCAGGGCCAGTGCCCCTCAGAGGATATTCATGCTCCAGGAAAGCCAAGGATGGGCCTCCGTCATGCTCTACATGGTGCAGTAGGGACACCTGTGTCCCACGTGGAGCTCGGCTTCTAGCTGCAGTCAGGGCAGAAGCTGGCAGGAGGGGTTTACTTCTGTCCTTGGAAGCTTTTGGTAAGGACACTTCATTCCTGTGTCTTGGACACCCCCCTCTAGGTCTGCTGCCCCCACTGTGAAGACAGGCAGGGCAGCTGGATGCGCCATTCCCAGCCTATATCCATGCAAAGGCATCCCAAGGGCAGGAAATGCGTCCTCAGGGGGCCAGTGGGGGTCCGGGGGCACAGAGGGCTGCAGAGTGAGAGCTGGCTCTCCTCTGGCAGATTACTGGCCAAATGTGGCTTTCGAACCACAGGAGAGGGTGCAGTCAAGGGTTGACTCAGGGACTGCAGGTTCCCTCCCCTTCCCAGTCCTTCCCTGGCACTGTCTAGGTGGCTCCCTGGCCAGGGGCCGGTGATCTAGCCGGCAGAAGGTTCATGGCATTATAACCTCCCAACCAGAGAAGCAGCTGCAGTTGAGCCTGTGGATCTGATGCTGAGGGCCCTGCCAGCTCACTGCAGAGTGGTCAGTTCTGGCCAGTTTTGCTAAGCCAGGCCCATTTGGGGTGAGGAGAGGGTGGGAGCACCCCAGCCCTCCCCAGTAGCTTGTCATGGTGGAGGAGGAAGCCCATTCACCCAGAAGAGGGCCTCAGGAGGCATCTTCAAGATGACTGAAGTTGCCCTGCACAAGGGGAGAGCTGGAGGGAATGGGTGCGATGAGAGAGAAGAGTCTCTCGTGCATCCGTGAGGCCAGCCTGTGATTGTCTTGAAGATTCTGAGTCACAAGACATGAGTCACACAGGCGTGAATTGTAAATGCCTGCACAGCAGAAGGTAAGTGACTCTGGATTATCCAGACCATTGACTGAGCCCTGCTCCATGCCAGTGCAGTCCTGGCCTGAGGACACAACCCTCACATCCAGACAGACCTGAGCAGCTAATGCATGTGCGCAGAAGAGCCAAGAGGCGAGCCGTGAATCCCCCCTTGAGGAGAAGAGGATGGGGAGGGCCAAACAGAAAGAACTGAGACTGGAGGCATCTGTTTAGGCACCCAGAGAAAGTCTCACTTGGACATAGCAGCAAATAGAACAGACCCCAGTGCCATCATGGAGCCCAGACTTGAGCACACAGGGACCTTGGCGTGGAGCACGAGGGTGCCAAGGCCTGCAGGTGGCCGAGTTGTGTGCTCTGGTGCCATGCTCAGATTTGACGGGATGACCCTGCTATCACCTGCTTTGTGAGCCACACAGGCCTGCGTCAAAGACTATGGACCACCAGCCTGGGCAACACAGATAGTGATACCCGTCTCCACTTAAAAGATAATTAGGCAGCTGTGGTGGTGCATGCTTGTGGTTCCTGCTACTCGGGAGGCAGAGGCAGGAGCATCGCTTGAGTGTGGGAGGTTGAGGTTGCAGTGAGCTGGGATGACACATGGTGCTCCAGCCTGGGTAACAGAGTGAGCCCGTCTCAAAAAAAGAACGGGTGGCCCAACAGGTGAAAACAATGGACGAGGCCCCGGGAGAAGTCCCTGCCCTTCTCTGCACCACTGCCTCCCGGTTCCTGGACTGCCAGCAGGTAGAGGGGCCAGGATGCCGTCCGGGGGGCCTGCTGAGGGGGTCCAACCTTCCTATACCTGCCCTTTAGCAGAGGCAGGCTGGGGCGGTCCTCATGTGAGGGGCTCTTGTTCCAGGGCAGGGGCAGAGCCGCTCCTCTCCATTCTGCCAGGCAAGACTTAGTGCTCTTCCATTGGGCAGAACTGACCAAGACTCAGAACATTCAATGTCAGGAGCCAGCTGGGGACAGGATCTGCCTGCACAGTTGAGGGTGGGGGGGAGGCGACACTCTAGAGGGACACGTTCAGGCCTCCCAGGGGGGTGCGGGCTCCTGGTCATGTCCACCAGGCATGCACACTGGCCACCCCACCCTGCTCTCGCTCACCGACAAGGTCTCTGGCAGCCCTTACGGGAATGTTTCCATTTCATCCTGTGTCCTCCTGTCTCAAACTTCTTTGGGCTAGAGACCCCAATGGGTCATCGAGGTGGGGCCAGCTGGACTGTGTACAGGCTTCACGTTTAAAATCTAGCATGGAAATGAAACTGAGGTGCTCCTAGACCACAGTGGGGTAGAAGAAGGAAGCTGCTCCCCTTCCCCTCCCTGGCTCTGGCCTGGAAGCTTGTAATGAGTCCCTCTCCCCACCTCCAGCTTCTCCCTCTAAGCAGGAATGGGCCCTGCTGGCACCACACAAAGACCCCTACGTAGGTGAGAGAGCAGGCCCTTTTCCTGGGAGCAGGAACTTGGTCTTGGACACGCCCACACCACCCATGTCACTCCTCAGTTCTAACTCATGAAGCAACCAGGGTTCCTGAGCTCCGTGACCTGGAATCATTCTGCTGCACCTGCACTGAGGGTTCAAGCACTCCTCACTGTAGGCCACGCCTGGTCCTCTTCCGGTCACCAGCCCACAGGCAGCAGCTGGGCTGAGGGGATGACAGACCTGGGTCCTCAGCCTCCCTGGGCCTTGGTTTCTCCATCTGCATCTGAGAGTGATGGGCAGGCAGGCATCTCGGGCGGGGACAGGAGAGAGAGAGATGCAGATGCAGTCTGCTTCCTGGATGCCAGACCAAGTGGTCTAGTTTTCAAGGCTTGTGTTTTTGGGGGACTCTTGATCAGATGGGACCACTCCCCACAGGCCATTCCTTGTGGCTGCAGTGGCACTAAGCTCTCAGACTGCCTGGCTGCCCCTGTGACCTCAGGAGCCCACTCCCATCCGGCCCTGCCTTCTCTCCTTCCTATGCCTCTGGTGCTGGTCCTGTGTCTGCCCCCTCTTGTGGGGTATGTTCTCCCACCACCCTGCACATCACTGCCCTTTTAAATTCTTTTTGAAATGGGGTCTCGCTCTGTTGCCCAGGCCGGAGTGTAGCGGTGTGATCACAGCTCACTGTAACCTCCATCTCCTGGGCTCAAGCAGTTCTCCCACCTCTATTTTTTAGAGATGGGGCCTTGCTATGTTGCCCAAGCTGGTCTTAAACTCCCGAGTTCAAGCGATCCTCCTGCCTTGGCCTCCCAAAGTGCTGAGATTATAGCGTGAGCCTCTGTGCCCTGACCCCCCCTTCTTCTCTTCATCCTGGGGACATGCTGACAGCTCTCCCAACATGGGACGTACATCCCCAGAGGCGGGGATACTGACCCAGAGCTGTGATGCCCACACAGCCCTGTGCTGCCCCCTTTGCCCGGCCCCCCGCCCTCCTCCTGAGGCCCACAGAGCCCTGTGCTGCCCCCTTTCCCCGGCCCGACCTTGATGCTGTCTCAGCAACTCGTGAGGATCCAGAACCTCGCCAGAAAGCTGCCAGGCTCTGCTGGACCTGGAGGTGCAATCCTGCAGCCTTGGAAGGGTCTTGGTTTGACCAAGCTGCAGAGCCAGGCAGGTCTCCTGGGGTCTGAGCTCAGACAACTGATGGCCCCGGACGCCTTGAGGGAAGCTGGGCCCGGCCCACAAGACTCCCACCCCATCCTGTGGCCCCCCGGAGGAAGGAGCCGGCCTCTGCGTGTGCAGTAACAGCTTTAATCTGTGGTGGCCCCTGCCCTCCTGCATCCAGGCAGGAAGAGCCGTTTCTTGAGGATTTAAAGCAGGAGCGTTTCCCACACTGTCTCCTGGGAGTCCATGCTTATAGTGACAGCACTGCTGAGTGGTGCCGTGTCACCAGGGCTGGGCCTGGGCACAGAGAGGCAGGGTGCTAGTCTTTATATATTATACATATATATATATATATTTCATGTGTATACACAGATAGTTTTCTCTCTTGAAAGTATTAAAAAATTGATCAACCTTCAATCTATAAAAAATACCTACTCTACATGATAGAAAAATTTCTCCTCCAAGTTTACACTGATTTACACCCAAGGCTTTCCCCAAATGTACAATAGGAGGCGACCTCTTACATCCTAGCATGGAAGGCGGTGGATGCGGGGCCATACAGGTGCACGCACGCATGCATGCACACATGCGCGCACTCTCACGCAGCAGGTGGCCAGTCTTGGTGATGGGGTCTGGGCCCACCCGGGAATGCTGGGGGTCGGGGGCAGGCCCGCAGCCCTGCGGGGTGACACCGCTGCGCCTGGGGTGCGGACCCGAGAAGCGCAGCCCCTCCCGCTCTGCTGTGAGTCTTCCCTGCCCTCTCCCTCCTACAACACGCACCCTCGGGGAAGAACCATGATTTCTAAGTGAGATACAAACAAGAAAACAGGGTTCCCGATGTTTGGACTCTGGCCTGGGAAGTGCGTGGGGAGGGTGTGGCCTTTAGGAGGCCAGGTCAGGCCGCACCTGTGGAGAAGCAGCACCTGGGAGCCAGAGGGGCCTGCAGCATCCACCCCACCCAGGGAGAGAGCGCCACACAGCTGTAATCTCAGGTCCTGATGTCGGAGTGGAGGGCCCCAGTGGCTCCTGCCCAACCCCCATAGGTGGTCAGAGCCCCCAGGGGTTACTGCAGCGAGGAATGGGCCATGGGAACAGCCACATGGCCTGGAGGCCCCAGAGCTGGACTGAGGTGACCACATCTGACTGGGCAATGGCCCAAGCAGCGTAGGTAGAGCTGGGGAAATGCACCAGCCTTGCCCACCCGTCCTTCCCGCACCACCATGTCTGAGATGAGGGTCCGGGAGCCCGTCAGCCATCAGCAGCGGCTCAGCATGGGTGAAACGGCACCAGGGTACTTGTGCGGGTGGCTTAGGCAGCAGCACCCCTGGAAGGACCCGTTTTCTTCCTTTCTTCCCAATAGGGCTGCATGTGGAAAGAGGGACCACCACAAGGAGGCCACAGCGGGGCTCACCCCACACCTCTGCACAGAGAGGCTCTCCAGCCCATCCTGCTGAACTGAAGTATAGGCGTTCACGGCCAGGGTGACTTAGGGCTGGAAAGCTCTGGGCCCCCCGAAAGGTCAGCGCTGATGGATGGCCCCGTCACAACCTTCACCCTCTATGAACCCCGGGCCCTGGGACTTCCCTTTCTCCCTCTCCTCTCCACCACCCTCTGCCCCTTTGGCAGCCCCTGTCTTTGGCGGCCCCAGCCCAGCTGCATGAGGACTCCCTGCATGCTCTGGGCACCGTCGGCTGTGGGACCTGCTGGTCTTGGCTCCTCACGGTGTGACGGGACCACTCCAGGGTGTTGAAGTCCCGAATCTAGCCCAGGCTGGGCCTTCTTGCCTCTACTTGACCTCCAGGATGGACGGGTTGGTCTCCATGATGGCCACGATGATCCTGTCGATGTAGTCCTGCAGGCGGAAGTTGATCTCCTCCTGCTTCTGAATTGCCTCCATGAGCTGTAGGGCGAGCAGGCAGTCAGAGCTGAGGCGCACGGGCCACAGGCCACAGTGCATAAACCACAGCACACAGACAGTGCGGGCTGTAAACCCCAGGCCACACTGTGCAGGCATGGGATGTGTTACCTCATCTCGGGAGACAGAGCTGATCTCTGCAGCCAGGGACTCAGAGAAGGCTGTGGAGAAGAGGCTCTTGGCGCCCTGGATGCTGAGGGTAATGATCTGCCCGTTCAGCTCCTCGTTCTGCTCCTTAAGGTTGCGGTTGTCCTGGGAGGGCACAGCAACATCACTACTGGGCTGTGGCCCCTGCGGATGGCTGAGCAGGGACAAGGACTGCCCAGGGAAAAAGGCCTCCAGCTCAGATGCTGACCCTCCATGTCCCCACCTTCCCAACCAGCCCTGGGGAACATTCTGCAGGAATGTGAGGGATGGAGGCCCAGGCCTGCCCACCTGCTTCAGCCTGCGGACCTCCTGCTCCAGCTCGCTCTCCCGGGCGCGGCTGTGGTACTCCTGCAGGCCCATGCTGCTACTGCGGCCCCGCCGCTGCTCAGCCTCCAGCTTCAGGAGCTGCAGGTGCTCCAGCTGCTTTCGGAGGTCCTCGATCAGCTGCAGGGCAACCGCCGGGTGAGCCGGGGGGCCTGGACTCCCAGGGGACACCATCAGCCATCACTTGGCTGTGGAACCTCAGGGTTGATCTGGCCGTCTCTCGGGAAGACGACACACACCAGTGGCTATGTCCAAAGCGCACAGCAAAAAGCTAGCGTCTTAGGAAACAAAGGCTTCCCCTGGGACAGCCTGGGGGCAGGACTGGCATGGGGCAGGGTGGGTGCCAGCTCACCTCCTGTGTGGCCTCCTTGTCCCTCTGGAACTGGTGCCTCTCGTGACTCAGCCTGTCCCCCATCCTCCTCTTGTTCTCCTGCTCTTCGCTGAGCCGCAGCGTCAGCGACTCTATCTCATCCAACAGCTTCTGCTTTTCCTGCAGGGGTGGACACCTGCCCTGGATGTGCGTCGCCCTCCCACCTGTGCATGCAGCTTGCCCCGGTCGTCTGTCCCTCCAGTCTCTGAGTCTCCCAAACAGCAGCATAGTAGCCCCCGTGTTGGAGAACGACAGGGCTGGGTCTGAACCTTCCTGCCTCTCAGTGGAGGTCAAGGCCACCTGCCTCTGGGCGCCTCACACACACAGGCCACGAGGGCCATTTCTTGTGAGGGGCAGGAAGGACCTTTGTGTGGACAGGACCTGACGCAGTGGCTGTGGGCAGCTCCAGCCGGGCTCCTCTGGTTCACGGGAGCCAGGGCCCAAGTGCTCTGAGAATATCCTTCCTGGGAGCTTCCCAGAGCACAGCTGGTGAGGTGGGGGGAGGGAGGTCTCACAGTGATGAGCTGGGGTGTGGGAACCCCACATGCAGCCTCTGCCTCCACGTCTGCAGGGGTCGGGGCGTGAGTGGCTGGCTGATGCCTTCCCCTTGGAGGACAATTCCCAGATTCAGAGCCCTGGGTCCATCTAGGAGTGAGCCTCTGGGCCCTGCTCCTGTGGGTGGAACAGTGCCTTCAGGTCCGGTGCCTTCCAGTGGCCTGGGCCCTGAGCTGGCCCTGTTCCCTCACACACAGCACAGCATCCTGCTCAGCACAGAGCTCAGGGCTACCTCGGCTGCCCCACAGGCAGGGCACGGGCTGGGCCCACTAGCCACAGCTCCAGGCTGTAGGCAGCTCACCTCCTCCAGGCGCTCAATGTTGGCCTTCAGACAGGGCGTGCAGGACCGGAGCTCACTGTTCTCCTCGTCCAGTTGCTGTAGCCTGGGACACGAGAGCAAAGCTGAAACTCACTGCGGGAAGCATGCCTCTGCAGGACCAGGGCGCCCCGTGTCTCAGGGAAACCCTGCTGGGGCCGCCCTGTGACACACAGACGCCCCCAAATGACCAGGGCCAGTCCTTAGGTGCCCACCCAAGTGCTCCGGGCAGAGCTTTTCCGTAATCTTTGAAGGATTTTATTTTTTATTATTTTATTGTATTTATTTATTTATTTTGAGACGGAGTCTCGCTCTGTCGCCCAGGCTGGAGTTCAGTGGCGCAATCTCGGCTCACTGCAAGCTCCGCCTCCCGGGTTCACGCCATTCTCCTGCCTCAGCCTCCCATGTAGCTGGGACTACAAGCGCCCGCCACCACACCCGGCTAATTTTTTTTTGTATTTTTATTAGAGACGGGGTTTCACCGTGTTAGCCAGGATGGTCTTGATCTCCTGACCTCATGATCCGCCCGTCTCGGCCTCCCAAAGTGCTGGGATTACAGGCGTGAGCCACTGTGCCCGGCCTTATTTTTTATTTTATTTATTTTTTTTGAGGAGGAGTCTCACTCTGTCACCAGGCTGGAGTGCAGTGGCGCAATCTTGGCTCACTGCAACCTCCACCTCCTGGGGTTCAAGCAATTCTCCTGCCTCAGCCTCCTGAGTAGCTGGGATTACAGGCGCCTGCCATCACGCCTGACTAATTTTTGTATTTTCAGTAGAGACGGGATTTCGCCATGTTGGCCAGGCTGGTCTTGAACTCCTGACTTCAGGTGATCCACCCGCCTCAGCCTCCCAAAGTGCTGCGGTTACAGGTGTGAGCCACCGCACCCGGCCCTCTTCTCTGTTTATTAATAGTCATTTATTTGTGTCACGATGGACTCATGAACTTTATGTTTTGGATTGTAATCCAATGCTATCACTATGAGTTTGTTACTTGAACTGTTCCAGCTTTGGCGTCTGGCAACTCCTTCAGCTGGCCCGTGTCCCTCTGACATACCCTGTGTCTGTGCTCATGGCAGGGGGGGAGTTTAGTGTAAGCACTTCCTCATTTTCAGATACTACACACTGCTGCAGGCTCAGCCTGCCTTTTCCCGTCCCAGCCTCAGAACTGGCCATTTCTCCAAGGAACCCTGGATCTTCTCCATAATCCAGTTGTCCTCACTATCCTGTTACCCTGCCATCCCTTCTAATTCAACCTAACCTGCACCCACACCCAGAATTTGGTGTAAGATGGAAACCCAGGGGCAGCACAGGGCTGGGCGGGAAGGGCTTCAGGTGTCCTCTACCCAGGAGGGGACTTGCTCTTGCTTTGCAGAACTGATGATTGAGACCAGGGGCAAAGCAGATGCAACCCCTTCCCAGGAGCACCTGCTGGCCTCTGCACCACCAGGGAGGCCACGGGGTGCCCAGGACAGGCGCGCTCCCAGGGACTTGTCTGGGGCTGGTCAGACCCTTGGCCACAGGCGTTCGTCAGGAGGACAAGGGCACTCACTGGTGTCACTCCGGTGTGTGTTGGTGCTCTGCAGTCCAGACTCCTCCTCTAGGGTGGGGATGGGTGTGACCCAGCTGTATGTGGGGGGGGACCCTCCTGTGTGAGCCTTGCCTTCACCCAGCTTCCACAGTTCCTGGTGCTACCCACTTCTGAGCCTTCATGTACCAAGATGCAAACCCCGGTACGTGGCGCCTGCGTGGCTGCCCCGAGATGCAAACCCCGGGTACGTGGCGCCTGGCATGGCTGGCCCCGAGATGCAAACCCCGGTACGTGGCGCCTGCGTGGCTGCCCCGAGATGCAAACCCCAGTGTAGCTGCTGGCGCAGGGTGTTGTGTGTGTTAGGAGTGTGTGCAGCTGTGCTTTCTGGGCTACACCTTTGCCATCTGCCTTTCCTGTTGTTTTGCTGACCAGAGCATAGTAAGTTCCATTGTCCACCTCTAACCCTGGAGTCCAGATGGCTCTACCTACAGTTGTTTTCTCCTTTCAGAGTAACACTTGCATGTTTTGTTCATAATTATTGAAAGCAAATTATGTTTTAATTCTATTGAATTTCAAAACTACAGACATGCAAAGAGAAGAAAATAAAGAGCTGCACAGCTTCACGTACAGCAGCACTGCCCTCCCGAAGCCTGGCCCCTCTTTCTTTCCTCCTTGCCCCAGTCTCTCACTGTCCATCAGACACACTCAGCTCTGCCCAGCGCTGGGATCAGTCTTTCTGCCTTCTCTCCTTTCAGTATCAGGCTCGGGGGAGTCTACTCACATTTTTTGGAAGGACGAGCTATGCTACGTGGCAAAAGCGAAGGCTTCCCTCGGCTTCCTTGGCTCACATGCTGCTAGAAAGCACCACACACCAGGGCCACGTTCACCCAGTTCACTCTGTGCCTGATGATGGGTCATGTACCCTAACGCCAGGGGTTCAGCAGGTGCCATAACCCGCAAATCAGGCCCTGGCCTCTGTGGACATGCCACTGTGGCCCCATCAGCCTTCAGTCCAGCTCTCTGTAGCCTGCCAGGGGCTCCCATACTTTCTGGAGGCCCCTGGGGGCCCCACTCCCAGAGGTACCTGGCCTTTCCTAGAACCTCTTCCAGGCCCTGTGTCCTGAGATTCAGATCTCTGCCTGTGACCTTTGTACAGCCCCATTCTGCTGATGACACATATTCTTCTTTCCTGGTCCCTAAACAAGGATATCCAAAGTTCCGGTCTCTCCACTCCTCCATCTTCTCTATGCCCTTTCAGCTTTAACTTTCATCTCTACTGAGGCCCCGCGCCTGAAATCCAGCTGTTTTCTAGGCACTGCAACTGCAAAGACGGCCAGCCCTGCTGCTCCCAGGAGGTTCCGATGCAGGTGCTGGGGCTCCTGCCTCCTGGCCCTCTGCTCCTGAGGGTCCCCGGACTGAGACTGTCATTGCACTGACCAGGGTCTTCCTGTACACCAGATGGGCAGAGGCCAAGCTGGGGAAGTCCCCAAGATGCCAGAGGCTTCTGTGCTGGGTTGACTGCAGGTTGCTGACCTGGGGCTGCAGGGGCCTCTGAGGGCCTGAGCAGCCCTGAGAACCACAAGGTTGCTGGTGGCCACTCCAAGAAGCTGCAGGAGACTGACAAGGTCCAGAACACGGTGGCACTGTCCCCAAGGGCTTAGGGCGGGTAGGCGGCTTGCGCACAAGAGGCAGTGACACTGGGCCCTGCTTGCTCCCTGAGGACCTCGTGAGACCCCTATCTTGTGCCCCTCCACACCAGAGCACACAGAGGAGGCAGGATGTCCACACAGCTGTGCCTCAACCTCAGCCCCAGTGGACAGGTCCCACGGGAGGTGCTCCCTGGTGCTCACAGACGAGAAACGTACTTTAATTTGGAGCCCACTCAACTGTACTGTGCCAAGGCCAGGGGAGAACATTGTCCTGGCTGCCCTGACCTTGCTCCCCAGAAGACGGCGCCCCACTGCGATGGCAGGCACGGAGGCCTCCCTGTGCAGGGCATCCCGCACAGCTCTCTGCGTGCAGGCTCCTTCCTGCCACCCACTTTTAAAAATGCCTAGGAGCTCTTCTTAGATAAGGCAAGTATCTTAGCTTCAAGAGCTGGAAGGAACACAAGCAAAAGAACCTGAAATCCCTTTATGAATATTTAAAGCAACTGTATTTCAAAATCTAAAAGTAGTACATGCTCAGTTTAAAGAAGCCACATGACGTGGTTCAGGCCCATAATCCCAGCACTTTAAGAGGCTGAGGTGGCTCTGCTGAGAGTATGGGGAGGGAAAAAAAATGACAACCAAAAACGCCAACAACAGCAACAAAACGAGGCCAAGGTGGGAGAACTGCTTAAAGCTAAGAGTTCAAGACCAGCCTGGGCAACATAGCAAGACCTCATCTCTACCAAAAAGGAAAAGTTAGCCGGGTATGACAGAGCACACTTACAGCCCCAGTGACTCGGGGGCTGAGGCAGGAGGATTGCTTGAGCCCAGGAGTTCAAGTCTGCAGTAAGCCATGACAGAGCCACTGCACTCCAGCCAGGGCACAGAGCAAGACCCCATCTCAAAACAGACAGACAAACAAAAAACTGTATAAAACAACTTTCTCCACTCTCACTACCCAGACACACAAGAAGGATAGACAACTCTAGATTCCTCTGATTATAGGTATTTTAAGTTACCTGATGCTTTTTACTTTTACAGAACCGTTCCTTGCAAATGTATTTGTAAACACATACCAGGAATCCACAGCATGAGTTCCCAGATGGAGAAGTACGCGAGGCACTGTGCTGCTTTAATATTAGTTTGTACCTCGGCTGGCACGGTGGCTCACGCCTGTAATCCCAGCACTTTGGGAGGGCGAGGTGAGAGGATTGCTTAAGCCCAGGAGTTCAAGACCAGCCTGGGCAACACAGCAAGAACCCCCATCGCTATTAAAAATAATGATGTTTTGGCCGGGCACAGTGGCTCACACCTGTAATCCCAGCACTTTGGGAGGCCGAGGCAGGTGGATCACAGGAGTTCAAGACCATCCTGGCCAACATGGTGAAACACCATCTCTGCTAAAAATACAAAAAATAGCCGGGTGCAGTGGTGCGAGCCTGTAGTCTCAGCTACTAGGGAGGCTGAGGCAGGAGAATTGCTTGAACCAAGGAGATGGAGGTTGTGGTGAGCTGAGATCGCCCCCTGCACTCCAGCCTGGAAGACAGGGCGACACTTGGTCTCAAAAAAAAAAAAAAAAAAAAAAAAATGGCCAGGTGCCGTGTTTCACGCCTATAATCCCAGCACTTTGGGAGGCCAAGGCGGCTGGATCATGAGGTCAGGAGATCGAGACCATCCTGGCTAATACTGTGAAACCTGTCTCTACTAAAAATACAAAAAATTAGGCAGGTGTGATGGCAGGTGCCTGTAGTCCCAGCTACTTGGGAGCCTGAGACAGAAGAATGACGTGAACCTGGGAGGCGGAGCTTGCAGTGAGTCGAGATTGCACCACTGCACTCCAGCCTGGGTGACAGAGCAAGACTCCATCAAAAAAAATAATAATTAAAAAATAAGTAAAAAAATAAAAAATAATTTTTCCCTTTATTTTATATATACATATATATTTTTTTAATTAAATTGTTTTTGGAGATGGAGTCTCACTCTGTCATCCAGGTTAGAGTTCAGTGGCACAATCTCAGCTCACTGCAACCTCCGCCTCTGGGTTTAAGTGATTCTCATGCCTCGGCCTCCCAAGTAGCTGAGATTACAGGCGCATGCCACCATGCCTGACTTTTTTTTGTTGTTGTTTAGTAGAGACAGGGTTTTACCTTGTTGGCCAGGCTGGTCTTGCACTCCTGACCTCAAGTGATCCACCCACCTCGGCCTCCCAAAGTGCTGGGATTACAGGCGTGAGCCACTGTGCCCTGCCTCCTTTATGATATATTTTAATATAGTATCGTTAATCTTCTTCCTTATTGTTTTCCCACTTTTTCTGACTCATCCAAGGCTATGTCTCCAGATGAATGTAAAAGTAATTTTGTCCAGTTCCCTTAAAAGTATTTTATGCAAAAAAATTAGCTGGGTGTGGTGGTGGGCACCTGTAGTCCCAGCTACTTGAGAGGCTGAGGCAGGAGAATGATGTGAACCCGGGAGGCAGAGCTTGCAGTGAGCTGTAATCGCGCCACTGCACTCCAGCCTGGGGGACAGAGCAAGACTCTGTCTCAAAAAAACAACCCCAAAAAACAAAAAAAAAAAAACAAAAAAAAAATTAGTGTTTTAAACAGACTGGATATATTGTAGACGTAGATTTAGAGAAACCAACACCCACACAGGGTCAGTCTTTGAACTGATTTCTTGTGGCTTTTTGGGGAGTTTTAAGGTCTTCACCACATAGCTTTTCCCCTTTTTCTAAAATTCAGGTTATTCCTAGCCACTGCAGCTTTCTGGGGCAGGCAGGCTGTCAGGGAACCTCTCCTACCTGGCCTGCAGCATTCTGGGATGGGCGGGCTGTTGGGAACCGCCTACCTGGCCTGCAGGTTCTCGATCTCGATGCTCTTCTCCCTCTCCATCTTGCACAGGAGCTCCTTCTGCCGCCGGGTCTCTTCCAGGACCATCTCGCAGGCTCTCAGCTCCTGCTCCTTCAGCTGCTCCTCCAGGGCGTTTGCTCTTGAAAGGCAAAAGGAGGAGCTGAGCTGTCTCCAGGCAGGGTGTGCAGTGGCTCCACCCATGCCCAGAAGCTGCCTCAGGACCTCCAGGAAACCTGCCGCCACCCGGGAGGAGGGCCGAGAAGGGCATCCCCGAGCTCTGGTCAAGGCAGTTCTGAAGCAGCGCACACACCCCCAGATAGCCTCGCCTCCCACACTAAAGGCAGCTAGGGGTGGCCAGAGCAGTGTCCACTGCACCCCGGCCCAGCTGATACCCACAGGCACTGCCCGCTTGTGCTGTGTGGATTGCAGCACCCCGAGGGCCCGAGCCCGCCAGGTGACCGCCCCTGGTGCACTCGGTTCATGCAGCTGCTCCACCTGCGGCCACTACACACAGTGAGTGAGCTCAGGGCCCAGAGGCACGGAGCCTCGGAGCCTCGGGAAGGAGCGTGAAGGTACCAGGGTCCAAGGGCCACAGCATTTCCAGGAAGTGAGGCTGATGAAGCACATGGCCCGTGGCAGCTGAACACCGGGGAACTGAGTGTGCGGGCAGTGTCTGCCTTCAGCTGCAGTATGGTTGGTTCATGGCACATCTCCCAAAGGTGCTCACGAGGCTTCCTGAGTTGCCAGGTCCACATGGGAGCCAGGACGAGTCTAGCTCTGGCTGCTGGGCACATCTGGGCCCCAGAGGCTGTGAGGGGCCACAAGTGGAGGGGGGCCCACTCTGCTCCCAGTCCCCTCCAGGCTGGGGAAGTGGGTATAGAGACCAGTCCCATCCAGGTCACCTCAGAGCAGAGGCAGGGCAGGTGTCAGCTAAACCACAGAGAAAAGACGACATTCCCACAGGGCGGGGAGACCCTGGCCTTCCCTAGATCTTCACAACCACCTGCAGGAGACAGGACTGGACTGTCCCAAAGAGAAGGGCACAGGCCCTGCCCACTGACACAGCACAGCCCAGGCCCTGAAGCCCTGCCTTGCACAGAGCCTCTTATCCTTGTGGTGCCTCACACGCAGGAGTGGACGGATGGCCAAAGATCACCAGACACAACAGGCAAGCTTTCAACAGGAACTGGCCAAAGCAAACACCAAGCGAGGAACCCAGGGAGACACATGATGCAGGAGACAGTGAGGAAAGGTCCCTGAGCCAGTGCCCTCCGCGAGCCAAGAGCCACAGCTGCAGGGTCAGGGCGGGCCGCTGCAGAAGAGACAGACAACAAGGAACAGCTCCCGGGAACTGAAAGTGTGGGAAGGACGATCTAAACCTCCGATCAAGATGTTGGGCTCACGCCTGTAATCCCAGCACTCTGGGAGGCCGAGGTGGGCGGATCACCTGAGATCAGGAGTTCAAGACCATCGTGACCAATGTGGTGAAACCCCGAATCTACTAAAAATACAAAAATTAGCCAGGCGCAGTGGCACATGCCTATAATCCCAGCTACTTGGGAGGCTGAAGCAGAATTGCTTGAACCCAGGAGGCAGAGGTTGCAGTGAGCAGAGATTGCACCATTGCACTCCAGCCTGGGCGATACAGCAAGGCTCTGTCTCAAAACACAAAACAACGAACTGAAGGCTGAAAACCAGGTGCATGGCACGGCAAATAATACAAGATCCTCATCCAAGTATGTAGGGTGGGAAACAGAAGTTACGGAGAATAGCAAGGCCCTGCGGCAACAGCAGGTCCTCAGTCACAGCACGGGGTCAGAGGTCTTCAAATTCTCAGGGAATTCAATTTCTGACCTAGAATTTTATGCCCAGCTACGCTATGGACTGGAGCAGGGGTGGGAGGACTAAGCACTTCCACACAAGCAGTTCTCAGAGCATCTGGCTCCTGTGCTTCCTCTTCCAGGCAACTATCAGTGACGTCCTCAGAAAACGAGTTGGCAAAAAGAAGAAAACGTGGGACCCAGAAAATAAGGACTCAAACCCAGGGGAAGCACTCGGAATTCCCAGGATGGCAGCTGTACGGCACGGCTAGAGAGCAAATGGCTCAGGACAGGCAGATGATACTGAAAACGGGTAACGTGTTGTTTAGGACAGTGGAGGTGAGCACCACAGGGAACAGTCACAGGAACTGAATGTGGCCGGGGCTGCGCTGCAGATGGTCAGTGGGCGGAGCAAGGCAGCAGGGTGGACTTCACACCACACACACAGAAAACTGATGAACATACTCCAGAGTCACCTCAGAGCAGAGGCAGGGCAGGTGTCAGCTAGACCACAGAGAAAAGACGACATTCCCACGGGGCGGGGAGACCCTGGCCTTCCCTAGATCTTCACAACCACCTGCAGGAGACAGGACTGGACTGTCCCAAAGAGAAGGGCACAGGCCCTGCCCACTGACACAGCACAGCCCAGGCCCTGAAGCCCTGCCTTGCACAGAGCCTCTTATCCTTGTGGTGCCTCACACGCAGGAGTGGACGGATGGCCAAAGATCACCAGACACAACAGGCAAGCTTTCAACAGGAACTGGCCAAAGCAAACACCAAGCGAGGAACCCAGGGAGACACATGATGCAGGAGACAGTGAGGAAAGGTCCCTGAGCCAGTGCCCTCCGCGAGCCAAGAGCCACAGCTGCAGGGTCAGGGCGGGCCGCTGCAGAAGAGACAGACAACAAGGAACAGCTCCCGGGAACTGAAAGTGTGGGAAGGACGATCTAAACCTCCGATCAAGATGTTGGGCTCATGCCTGTAATCCCAGCACTCTGGGAGGCCGAGGTGGGCGGATCACCTGAGAGGCTGAGGCCAGGCATTTGAGACCAGCATGGGCAACATGGTGAGACCTCATCTCTACAAAAAATTTAAAAAGTAGGCCGCGCACGGTGGCTCACGCCTGTAATCCCAGCACTTTGGGAGGCTGAAGATGGCAGATCACAAGGTCAGGAGTTAGAGACCAGCCTGGTCAATATGGTGAAACCCTGTCTCTACTAAAAATTAAAAAATTAGCCCAGCATGGTGGTGCATTCCTGTAGTCCCAGCTACTCAGGAAGCTGAGGCAGAAGAATCGCTTGAATCCGGGATGTGGAGGTTGCGGTGAGCCAAGATTGCGCCACTGCACGCCAGCCTGGAGACAGAGCGAGGCCGCGTCTCAAAAAAAAAAAAAAAAGAGAGAGAGACAGCACACCTGTAGTCCCAGCTACATCGAAGGCTGAGAGGTAGGCAGGTCGCTTGTGTCTGGGAGGTAGAGGCTGTAGTCAGCACTCAGCCTGAGCAACAGAGGGAGGCCCCGTCTCTTAAAAAAACAAAAAACAAGCATGTCTGGCGGCCCCTCCGGATTCTCCTTGACAAGGAGGAGACAGTGGTCTTTGGAGGCGCAGCATATGTGTAGCACACTACTGGAGCCCAGCCCCTTCGCCAGCATGCCTGGCCCCTCTCCACAAGGCAGCAGGGGCCGGCGGCAGGCCCTCCTCTGCTGAGAATCCTGGAGAACGGGCAGCCGCAAAGCCCAGGGTCTTCACTCCACAAGAGAATGTGCTTTGCTTTGTTAGAATTAAAATGATGTGCAAGTTACGCCCACGATCCCATGAGACATTTTCAGCGCTCACAGGGCAGATGGATCTGAAGCTGAAGGGCGGGTCACGCATGTTAGTACGGTGCAGGGTGAGGGCTTGGGGGCTTTGGGAGTGCTGACTGCAAATGCCCTGCTGCCAACACACGTGTGTGCAGGCTGCTCAGAGCCCTGAATCTACCTGGTCAGTGGTGATGAAGACACTGAAGCTTCAAGGGACACGGCCCCTGGCTGAGCTGAGAATACGTGGAAGGGCAGGGATGTGCCCGGGCAGCTGGGCAGGGAGCAGAAGCTCACAGGAAGAACCTCTTCTGCAGATTCCCCAGGTGCCTCACAGGCCTCCTGGCTGCCTCCTCTGCCCCCAAGAGGCTGCCGGTGCCCAGCTCCAGGTGGCACAGCCTGGGTAGATGACTCCTGGGCCAAGCTCATCTTACTTTGCATGAGAAACAGTACTGCAAATCGGCTATGAGACAACATGGCGTGCCTCGTTTGAAAAACAGTGAGAATTACACAGTCTTCTAAGAAAAGTCTGCAAACGAGAGTGGGGTAAGCAGCTCCCACTCTTTCTCTGCAAACACGGCGTCACACTTCGCTTCCTCCCTAGCACTCCTGCCCACAGTGATGAGACTGTGCATCCTGTCACGTATTCAGCAGTCTCTGCTCATTTCGCTTTCTGCGGCTGAGCAACTTCCCTAACCTGCATTCTTCCAGGATGGGCACACCTCGTATGGACCAGAGTGGGAGAGCTGCACCTCCAGGCCTGCTGGTGAGGCTGGGCACTGCGTGGGTTTGCAGTCAGCTCCTCCTCTGGGTGGGTCAGGTCTCACACTCCCGAAAGGGAGGCAGTGCCCTCCTCTGGCCCTCTGTGTGTCTAGGGTTCATGGACAACTCTCCACGAGAGCACCAGTCAGAGCCTCGAGTCTCCTGCCTGCAGCCCAATGGGTAGGCTCAGATGACCACCTGGCACCACCCCCTCAGCTGGCTTCCACCCTGGGATGGACCGGTGGCCAAGCCCCTGCTGTGTGAGGTAAAGAGAAGTAAATGGGGGCTGACAGGTGGGCACAGGAGGCACTATGCAGAGGCCCAGGTCTCCTGGCCCAGGCTCACCTGTGCACCAGCTGCAGGTTCTCCTGCCTCAGGCGGCTGTGTTGCTCGCCAGTGGCTGCCGTGTCCTTTTCCAGCTCCAGCACACGCCTTTCCAGGAAGACGACCTTGGCAATGAGACCAGGCTTCAGGGTCAGGTAGTCAGAAGCAGAAGGGCCTGCACCCCCGAGGGAACTACCTGGGAGGCCGCCTGGGGATTTTCTCAGCACAGAATCAGATCCACCTAGCTAGGCTGGTGTTGGATCCAACTTACCCTTGGAACTTGTCCCATAAACCCAAGAAGATGCAGCTCCCAATGGGGCCAGGGGCTTGGGAAGTACTGTCATCTCGACACCACAAATGCACACATTGCCGCAGTTCCGAGAGCTAGAGGCCCAGGGGTGCCTTTGGACTGGCTGGCTCATGGGCAGCAAGACTCTGCCCCCAACACACAGTTGGGTCTCTGCTCAGCCAGATGCAGCTCACAGAGGCAGCCCAGGTGCCCATGGATGCAAGGGACAAACAGACTCATGTCTCGGTCCCTCCCTCCCTCCCTCACAGAGTTCACATCAAGATAAAGTCAGACACCTGCAGGGGTAGGAGAAGGAGTAAAGGGAGCAGAGGAGGACTCAGCCTGGGTCAGCAGACTTGAGATGCTAGAGAAGTTGTAGGGAGGAGGAGGTGGGGGTGCAAGAGGAGGTGAGGTACAGAAGGTGATGGGGTACAGGAGGAGGTGGGGTACAGGAGGAGGTAAGGGGGTACAAGAGATGAGGGGATACAGGAGGTGAGGGAGTGCAGGAAGAAATGAGGGGGTACAGGAGGTGAGGGGGGTTCAGGAGAATGTGAGGGGGATAGAGGAGGTGAGAGGGTGCAGGAGGTGAGGGGGGTACAGGAGGAGGTGAGGGGGTACAGGAGGACATGGGAGTGCAGGAGAGGAGGTGAGGGGACACAGGAGGTGAGGGGGTTCAGGAGGAGATGAGGGCTGCAGGAGGTGAGAGGGTGCAGGAGGAGGTGAGGGGAGTGCAGGAGAAGGTGAGGGGGTACAGGAGGAGGTGAGGGGGTACATGAGGAGGTAAGCAGTATGGGAGGAGGTGAGGGGGTACAGAAGATGGGGCACAGGAGGAGGTGGGAGGTACAGAAGGTGGGGGGGTGCAGGAGGTGAGGGGGTACAGGAGGAGGTGGGAGGTACAGGAGAAGGTGGGGGGTGCAGGAGGTGAGGGAGTACAGGAGGAGGTGAGGGGGTACATGAGGAGGTGAGGGGTGCGGGAGGACGTGAGGGGGTACAGAAGATGGGGTACAGGAGGAGGTGGGAGGTACAGTAGAAAGTGGGGGGTGCAGGTGGTGGGGAACAGGAGGAGATGGCGGTACAGGAGGTGGGAGGTGCAAGAGGAGGTGGGGTACAGGAGGAGGTAAGGG